TAAAAGTGCTTCTCCCTGGCCAGAGATCTGGACTAAGGCTTAGAGACCTGGCTTTGGTCTTGGCTCTGTCACTAACCAGGTTAAAAAAACGGGCCAGCATTTTTCTCATACTAACATGAGAGGTTGGTTCCTTATTCCCTAGAGATTTAGCTAATTTCTAGCACTCTTTTTGGGCACAAAATTCCAAAATCTGAAAGCTTATTTAAAAGGACAAGAGATAAATACTCAGGAAAACAAATCTCCAGGGCAAACTCAATAACCAAAGGCAACAATACATAGCTAAAAAATAAATATAGCAAGAAAATAAAATTAATTTTAATTTTAATTAAAAGACCTGGAAAAAAACATACTTTACTCTTGTAGTTAGAATGCTGATCAGATAGGTGTTTTGTCACCTTTACGTGAAGCACTTTTTTTGCTAATTAAATGCCCTTTAGTTAACAAACATGATTCCATATGATAAAAATCAAGAACGAATCTTGAAAGCATTATGATATGTGAAAGAAGCTACTCACAAAATACCACATATTATATGATTCTGCTCTCATAAAATGTTCAAATAGGAAAGAATAGGGAAATCTTCAGAGAGGGAAAGTAGATTAGTGGTTGCTTACCGCAGGGATGCAGAGACGGGGGTATGACAGCTACTGGGTTTCTTTTGAGGTCGTGAAAATGTTCTAAAATTGGTCATGGTTGCACATGTTATGAATGTCTAAAAGCCATTGAATTGACACATTAAGAGGATGAATCATATGGTACGTAAATTATAGCTCAACAAAGCTGCTTAAAAAATGGTTCCTATAACTTCACAATTTCATGGGAAGACCAGATTGAAAAGATGGAAGGTATTTGGGAGGTGACAGAGGGCAGAAGATTCACTTATTCTGTCAAAATAGAACCAGGCTCCCAGTTTTCCTTCGTTCACATCCAAAGGAGCATCTGTGAAAAGAGATGGTGGAATTGTGGGCAGAAATAACCCACTGACGAAGCGATTGTGAGTGTGGACAAAAGGAGAGAAAGTTCTGAGATCCTATGGGAGTCAATAAGCAAAGGCAGGCTCACATTAACCCATCAATATGGCCGAGTCAGCTTATTGCTAAAAATGAAGATATCAGTTTATCTCAGATCCATGGGTGGTGAAGTTTCCCTTCAACCCCTGAGTCCACTAACCTCGACACCAAGCTGACAGATGTGAAATTCCACTTAATGCATGGTATCCCATGAGGAAGAAATACAGGCATGGCCCTGACTCACACTTCTTTTTATTTCAAGCTTTGGGTTAAGTGTGCTCAAGCTATCATTTTCTCCACCCCCAAACGTGACACAGATGTGTGTTAATAACCTCTTTAAGACAGAGGTTCACTGTCAGGTTTACTGATTCTCACTGCCTGAAAATATCAAGATGAAGAGATACGTTTTTGAGTATTTTGCATGCTCAGCAATGGATGTTAGTATCTGGGATATAAGCTTACTACATATTAATTGATGAAGCCAGAATGTTTCTAGTAACCCATGCTCGAACACTCTCTTATGCTTGCCTGAAAACACTGTTATGAAGAAATTTTTAAAAGTCCAAGAAATAAAAATCTAGAGGGATTTTTAATTCTAGGCCAAAAACTTTCCCCTGGAGACGTTAGAAAAGGAGTTGGACATGCCTATTTTAACAAAGGCACAAGGGGGAGGTGACATGTCCCTGCCATGAGATTCAATTAAAATTTTTAAGTCTGAAAAGTAACTCAGTATAAATTTTTTATGGAGAGGACCACACTGTGAATATGGCACTAAAATTTTTTCCTGAGCCAGATTGTGAAGGGATCACAGTAGGCTAGGATCAAACCTGGTGGAATACCTTGTGTTTCTCTCTTACTCTGGACAGACACAGACAAAAAGCATATGGGCAGAATGCCCTCTTGATTAGAAGGATATCTCTGCTTTTAAACACTGGCTGTATTTCAGGTTTTCTCACACTCATCTCTTAATCATGTGCATAAATATGCATATTCACGCCCCCTCATTCACCTTTGCCTTCATGTTAGAGAAAGATGAGTCACACACACACACACACACACACACACACAGAGGCACGCACGCACGCACAGTTCAAGAGGATCATTCAAGAGGATTTCCAGTATCTGAAGAAATAATTCTGTTTTTGGCGCTAAGCTATTTTCTCTGGGAAAATATCTATTTTCGCTCAGTGAGCATAGTTCAAAATATTGATAGCAGAGTAACTTTACAAAATACTTACAACAAGCAGCCTTAATTTAGAACGATATTTGTCAACGTATGTTCCTTGCAGCTGAAAAACCTTGAGGGTTTATTAAAAATGCAGATTCCAGGTTCTCATCCCAGACCTGCCAAATCTGGAAGCTTGGGAGTGGAGTCTCTGTATTTTTAACAACGTCCCCTCCCTGCCAGGTGATTCAAGTGCACTTTAAGAGTCTGCTAGACATGCCTTGTTCACTAGTAAGATCATTCCTAACATGATTTCACGAAGATTAGAACAACAAAACAACAATTTCTGAAAGTGAATGACTTGTATCCTTGGCATTTTTGAATCCTATCTTAAAATTTACTGAGTTTTGGACTGCAAGACAAAGAAGGCAAAAACAAAAAGTCAATGTATTTGCAATTCGTAATTTCTGCTATCAGATGATTATTATTCACAACCTCCCCCGTGAAAGTTCCAAGTTCATAGTTTTGTAGGTTACTGAGAAGTCTAGATTTAGCTTACAGCTATAATTATGTTTTTTCCTTCCAGCTATGAAGTGTATTGTCCTGTGACTCTGTCTGCTTAGATTCTCTCATGCAGCAGTGACAGTCTTTTAGAATCATTCAAAACAAGACTTTGCTTATGAGAAGATGTTAAATAAAAAGCAGGTCATGAAAAAATTAAGTTGCCATTATTCCAACTTTGTAAACAGAGATATATAATGGAAGACTGGAAGAAAGTACCCACAAACCATCATCAGGTTTTTGTGTTAGGGTTAGCCCCCACCCCCTTAAGATATCTCTAAATTTATGTTCATTTTTTTAATTAAAAAAAGGTAATAATATACACTTTAAAATGCTGACTTCTAGTTGAAAATATTATCTGCATAGTTTTAACTTACTAGTAAATCAACTTCAAAAGTGTATATTAAGAAATTGTTCATAAACCTGAAATGCTAATACAATTATTTTAATTTTTCCATTTCCCTTCTAAACTATGTAAAGGCGTACATACATGATTATAGTTTATCTAAAATTTGAGTTCTACTTTTTCTATTTTGCATTATTTTGTCAAAGGACAAAATTACAACAAATTTAAAGATCTCAATTGGCTTTACTGCAATTCTAGAACTGGGCAACACTTTATTCCATACAATCGAATAACTTCTGATGAGCCAAGCAGAGGAGGATGGTTTTATAGACAGAAAAGGCTGAAGAAAGAAGAAACAAAAAACAAAAAGTGAATTGGTCGTTTCAAAATTACTTTCCTTGTGAGGCGGGTACAGGGAGACAGAATAATAAAAAAATAACTGATTAGTTGACATTAGGTAACTTCAGGCTACATTTTTTGTGTAAGGATTAAAGAAGAAGGAACTTCATTATCATGCTGATTAAAGATTGAAACTCGGGGCCGGCCCGGTGGCGCACTGGATAGTGCGCCACTTGGGAAGCGCGGCGGCGCTCCCGCCCGAGGGTTCGGATCCCACATGAAGACCGGTTCCCGCTCACTGGCTGAGCGAGGCGCGGGAGCAACACCGAGGGTTGCGATCCCGTTGCTGGTCCCCGGTCCGGTACGGGGGCAACACTGAGGGTTGCGATCTGTTGCCGGACACAGAAAAAGACAAAAGACAAAAAAAAAAAAAAAAAAAAAAAAGATTGAAACTGGCCTGTTTGAGAGACTGGCTGTTACCTTTCTCTCCTGACCACAACTTAGTTAAGGTTTGGTGACACGAAACTTAGCAGGGGTGACTCCATTTTGACTTTTAGTCTGGTCTTTGGGGGCCTACTGCAGGAACTTAGTCCAAACGAATAGACTCTTGTAATTTTTATTTAACAATTTAAAAAACATGTTTGCACATTTCTGCATAGCATCAGAATTATTTTTAAGGCCCCTTTTAAAGAAAAAATTGAGTTGATATACTGTACGTTATCAATTCCTGTACGTAGGAACATTTCTGTTGTTTCTAGTTTCAAGTTTTATAAGTAACATAGACTTCTCTCTTTATGTGAGGCTTTTTTTCCCTTTTCTTCTAAAGAGTTATTTCTTTAGAATAAATTCCCAGCAATGGTTTTACTAGTTTAAAGGGCATGAAATTTTTACGGATCTTAATGTGTAACATATTTCCCTATTGTCCTTCAAAAAAATTATACCAGTCTTCTTAAACACATGCATTGTGAAAAAGAACTGGATTCATTAAAATGGCTAAGTGTTGAGGGTTTTTTTTTTTTTAAGCATTTTACTTTATTTTTGTTGCTTTATTATGTACACTAGTGTTTTTTGATTTCTTCATTATGGCTAATCATTTTTAAAGCTATCAATATTCCAGGCACCATTCTGAGGAGTTTGCATATATAAAATTACGTTGTTCTATAAGAATAAATTAAATGAAGCTTCACTGCTTGAAAGTATAATAACCTACCCTCCATATATTAGATACTATGAAATAAATTTTTTAATTTCCAGAAAATAAGTAATCCCATTTCATAGAGGTGGAAAGGCACAGGAAATTTAGCTAAGAGAAAAAATAATACTATTCTAGATTTTTCAGCATATTTAACTTTTTTGCATAAGAAGTTAATTCAAAGAAATAATAGCTTCTTTTATTATTGAGAAAAAAATTTTTTTTCAGAATTAGAAGGTTTATTTAACCGATATCTTCTTTCCTTTAAAATGACCATATGGAACTTTAAAAGTCCACTGAAGGAAACAGGATGATAAAATACAAAATGACAATACTAGTACTAATTTTTAAAAAGTAATTAAGAAAACCATTTAATAAATGACCTACCCGATCTCACCAAGCACATCAAACTGATGAAGAAGTACAATCTCAGCATATGGAAACTGGAGAGAATGTACGTCACATTCATAGGAAGAAGTATTCACTCCGCAGAGCGTTAGAGTTCCCACTGCGGGCTCTGCTCACAGCAAGCTCAGATAACTAATCCAGAGGTGTGGTGACAACAGGAAGTTCCCCAGGGACTGACTGCAGGCAGGTCCAACCCTTTCGGGATCTCTGACTCCTCCTCTTTTCAATAAAACTTAAGGTACTGTCTACCTTACACAATTTTATGTATATCTTAATATTATAATTTGTATTTCACCAGAATAATGAGTTCAAAATAGTTTCATTCTTTGTGGGCGGTTTATTAGCTGTTTGGCTTGATGTGTTGAAACCAAGTGTGATTTGAGATCTTTTTCCTCTGTGTTCTTGTGAATGAAATAACAAATCCAGGTAGTATTCTGTTGGCCTGTGTATACAAAACCACGTTTTATGTTAATTCATACACTCATCCTTCACAGGGCAGTCTTTAGATTTTATTAAGAACATTTCAGTAGGTCCAATTATGTATCTGTATGTGCCAAAATATTAACTATGCTTCAGATTAAAGGAAACTTTTTTTTTGTATTATATATCCTTATTTTTATTTCTTCCTATCCAGCATTCCTATCTCTTTAATAGTACTTTTTTTAAAGGAAAAGTAAATGCAAAAACTTAGAGAACTATGCCAGAATCTATCCATCTCGGTGTTAGAAGTAACTAAACTTGAGCTCCATAACTACAAGATAATTTAATTTCCTTTCTGATGGAAGTGTTTACAACACTTAAGCTTCTGGTGGTCTCCTGAGCGTAAAAAGAAATTAATAAATAAAACACAAACAACTTAAGAATACATTTTCATCCAAAGCATCAGGCAAAAGCTTTAACTAGTCATTTAACCTGAAGTACATGTTTATGAAGTAATAGCTCCTTGTATATAAATTTTTCAGTTATCTCTACATCCACACCCCATTTGAATAGCAGGAGATTCCTTTGCAGGAAGTAGATTCTAGTAATACTTCTGAAGGAATCACTATGTCAGAATCACCTGGGGGGCTTTTTAAAGTACTGTGTATATATTTCTGTGTCACAACTCAGACCTAATGAATGCGAAGACTACCCAGCACTCATCCATTAACCTCAGTTCGAATCCCATATCTTCCATTCACTAGTTGTATGGCCTTAAGCAAAATATTTAAGTTCTCTAAGTCTTAGTTTTATCAACTGTAAAATTAAGACAATAAAATCACACATCTCATAGGGTTGTTATAAGGATTAAATGATATATTATAGCCAATGTCCTTAGCATGGTGCCTACTTACCAAGGTAAGCACTGTTACCACTTGGTGACTGTTATTACCTAACTGGCCACACAACCTGCCCCTTTCCCTCCCCTTGGAAGGAAGGCTGCACAATGTTGAGAAGAGGGACCCAGGTGTGACTTTAGGAAGAGAGGGCACCTTAGAGCCATGATCTTTCAGGTGAAAGACTTTAGTCAGACTTTAGTCTCGTTTTTGTTTTGGCGATTGGCCGGTACAGGGATCGAATGTTTTTGTTTTTGTCTCCTGTTTGGAGAAATAAATTAAGGAAACCTAAATAGGAAAACCAAATAGATAACCTGCTAGCTTTTCTATTTTCCACTTGCTCTAAGTTTTATTAATTTGAAAACAGTTGCCCTCTGGAACAAAAGAAGAATTGTTTCACATTTCCCTTAGGAGCCTGTTATGGAATGTACTGCTCCCTGTTGGATCAGTGTTCTTGCCTGATAAATATTTACTGAGTTCCTATCAGTTTAAGTACCGTGCCAAGTGCATATCTAGACAGAGCCAATGTACATTTTCCTGGAAACTAGCCAACTATAGGAATAAGAATCATTTCCGTTGGGAGGTCTCTTTGTGTCACTATGAATGACTTTCCAGCTGGTGGCACAGAAGGTCCCCTAACTTTCTAGCTGTGTGCTCCTTTCCACTGCCAGCATTCAAAACAGCACAAGAATCAATGGGAGAACCTGTCCCTTCTTTTTTGGGCTAGTGAGAAATATCAAATGTAAGAAAACATAAAACGTTCCCAAGGATGGAGCGAGAGGAGAGGGAGGGAAGAGAGGAGAATGGGTTTGACTGTAAAGGAATCTTTTAGTGATGGAAGAGTTCTGTATCTTAACTGTGGTGGTGGCTATGAGAATCCACATGTGTGGGAAGATTGCATACAGCTACACATAGACACATGGAAATGTAAAACTGAGAAAATCTCAATGAGGTCTGTGGATTGTACCAATGTGAATTTTCTGGTTTGAATAAGTACGCTATAGTTATGTAAGATGTTACAATTGGGGTAAACCAGGTGAAGGTATGTGGGACTGCCCTGTACTATTTTTGCAACTTCATGTGAATCAATAATTATCTAAAAATAAGTAGTATTTTTTAAATTCAAAAAAGTAGGTCAACTCTTAATAATCATTTGAAAACACTTATTCAAAGGTGTTCTGGGGAAAACCATTTCTTCATTTCCCATCAGCTAACCACGATTTTCTCAACCCTGTGACCCTGATAAATGATCACAGCTCAATGGGGCTGGCCCGTGGCTCACTTGGGAGAGTGTGGTGCTGACAACACCAACTCAGGGGTTAAGATCCCCTTATCGGTCATCTTTAAAAATAAATAAATAAATAAAATAAATGATCACAACTCAAGAATGTCACAGTTTTCCTCATTTCCAACAAAGTATTATGTACTTGTTTTAGAAAAAATTTTTTAACCTAGAAATCACTCGCTACAGAGAGCAGAGTAAAATGGGCAGGGAAGCTTCCAAATGCGTGGACAGGAAAAACAGGTATGCAGGTGTAATGGAACTGAGGGGAGGTGGTTTTATAACTCTCATTGGTTTCAACAGCCAGGAAAGGTGACCTATGTCCCCACCCACCCTGATGTAGGGCTCCACACTGATATATGACTCACTACAATAATACTCTTTTGTCTTCCCATCTGCATCAGTGACCCTGCCATGTCTCACTTGCAGTCCAAGTTTGGAAAGAAAAGTCTGTTTCCTCAGTTCATATCTTACAAGTAGATTAGGGTAACTTTCCCCAGATGCATATATTTGTTTGTTTCTTTCTCTTTTTTTGGTGGCTGCCAGTACAGTGATCGAACCCTGGACCTTCGTGTTATCACCACCACACTCTAACCAATCTATTCCTCCATTTATCAAACATTTCGTGAGCTCCCATTAAAATAAATAAGAAGGATAAAATAGGACATGGCTCCTTCCCTCAAGGAGACGAACACATTAATGATAACGATACTACTAATATAGACACATGGATATAATTCTACAGGAGAACAGAGAGAGAAGCAACTAGATGTTGGGAATCCCAGAGGGAGGAGTCATCGGAAAATCTTCAGAGAGAAGGTATTCTTTGATCTGGTTTTTAAAGACTAGGTAGGAGTTTGTGATGTGAAAAAGGTGGGGGAAGGGTATTCCAGGTAGAGAGAACAGACTTGCAGGTGTGAAAGAAGTGTGGCTTGAGAATTTGGTGTGTATGGAAATGATAAAGTAATTGGAAGACAGGCTGTGAAGAACTTTGTATGCCATGCTTAGGACAGTGAATTTTATCTCTAAGGTAGTGGAAACCTGGCTTTTTTCCTGTCAACTTATTTATAAGTTAATATATTATTATACAATAATTTAATGAATAAAATAATAGATAATTCATAATATACATTATAATATATAATAAATATAAAAGATGATATATCTATATGTTAACTTATTAACATTATCATGTGAATAAAAAACTTTTTTGGTAGTTTATTACAAAACAAGAAAGAAAAACATCTGCATGCTGCTTTTCTGGTTTAAGAAGTGTTTTTCATGGCATAGAGCTGAGGCAGAGTAGGGACACACCCCAAGGAAGCTGCTCATAAATATTCAGACTGGATCGGTCAGAGCCTGCGCACTAGGCAGGACAGGAGTGGCAGAGGTCAGCCATTAGGAGTTTGCACGTGGGGCAAAGAGGATGGAGAAGGTCGGAGGCGTGTATGTCTCTCTCCGGTGGAGATGTCTGTGCACTTTGGCGCGAACCTTCGATTGGTAATAAAGCCCTATCGTGTTCCATTTCTCTTCCTTTCATTTTCATTTCATTTCATGAAGAATCTTTCATGGATCAAGCACCTGGATCTGCCGCTGGTAATGGAGCTCCTCTGGCTGCTCCTCAGTTTCAGCTGCTGCTAGAGATGGCTCTCTCTCTTTTTGAGGCTCTCCCAAAGGCCATCAAAGTTTGGGTTGTCGTATGGCCTGTATTTTAAGTCAGACCACCCCAAACAAACCTCTCTAGTTTGGTGAAAATCAGTCTAATCATTTTTAGTGATTCAGTAATGCAAAAAGACAGAAACTTAATTTATAAATTTACCTTTCTTAATGAATAAGAATAACAATGTAAATTTATCCTCCTTAACAGCAACAAAAGGCAAACAAAACAAAAGACAACAAAAGAGAGATCACCCAAAAACAGCATAGAAGAAGGAAAGGGGAGAAGCGGAAGTGGCTATAGCAATGGTGTGAGAAAGATCAGGCCTGAAATGACAGTTCTGATAGGTTTGGAGAGGGGAAGGAGTAGACCTGCGAAATGCAGGATGCAGAACAGCAAGTGAAAGGACTTACAAGAAGGAGGAGAAACATTAAGCACTTAGCTGTGCTGAGCACTGGGAAAATTTGTAAGACTAAAGAATAGAGTCGAAGGCTAGGTTTTCATTGTTCTGCGGAGGGTAGGTAGGTTTTGAGGAAGATGGGGGTGGGGTCCTGGAAATGCTTGAAAGAGGATCTCAGCAGGAGAGGGACTGGGAAAACTGGAGTATCTGTTTGGGATAACCTGCAAAAGCTAAAGCAATGAGGTTAGCCCCTCCTGCGGTACAAGGTTTCAAGTTATCCAAGCCAAGGGCAGAAATCTCAGTTGCCCTTGTTACTGCATCTGGTCTTGGGATTCTTCCCTGACCCTCTGGTGAAGAACTCCTGGGTTCTGGAATGGCTGTGGCATTGGCGGGGTTGAGGTTAGGATAATCCCGTTCTTTGGCCCATGGATGGGCAGTGGCCCGTGCCCCAACTGTGGACCACTGGACTGCAAAGGCACCAACTGGCACACAAGTCCCAGGTGGGAGTGACCGTAAGGATGAGTTTACTTCTTTTCTTTGTTCCAGAGGGTAGCTAAGAGGACTTGGAAGGAGTGTGTGGGGGCAGGGGCCTGGGGGTTGCCACACTCATTTCACAAGTTGTTTGCTGGTGAGGCCCTTGGATTCTAACTGAAGTCTGTAATTCCAAAGCCTTCCCACATTTCATGGTGGATGACCGATGTTTCAGTATTGAGTTTGTGCAGGTGCATTAATGATGCAGGAAAAGAAAAAAAAAATGTGTTGTGTTGCTGCACTGGAGTGCTGTGAGACTGGACCCAAATATTTCTTAAATCTTGGTTGGCCAGACCTGGGATTAGTTGCTGTTCAAAAGCAGCTTGCAGCTTTATGATTTATGGTTGTATGAAGACTGCTCTTTTGTTATAGAGAATTTCCTCCCAATACTTGAAGGGGCTTCTTGGTTTGGCAAAAGCAAAGAGCAACTCTCAAAGTGGAATGGACAATTAAGACCTAACTGAACTGCTGCATAGGAATGCCAACAGTTGTTTTCTTTCAGTAAGGGTCTGGCCTCTAATTAAGTTTGCTGGAAGTCCAGCCTGAAATGGGTTGGTATAGAAGTGGAGAGGAAATTCCCCTCTGTGGATAGCTTGTCAAAGATGTTGAGAAGAGTAGAGAGATGGCATTGGGGAGGGGAGTCCCTTTGGGAGACAATGGGCAAGGAGCTACTATAGATGCTACATGTCTAATAGTCACTTCCAACTTCTTCTTGGTTTTGTAATTCTTCTGTTATTCCACACTTTCAGCAACAGACTTGTGTTAGCTATGCTTTGGGGAATTAGGGAGGGGACTGTATCTACACTTAGAATTTGCTTCCACCCTTTAGGATCTGTCCCCTTATCTCAGGCCAGAGTGGTGGTAGCTCCAGGTGAGTGTCTGGTGGTCTGGAGCCCTAGGGGGTGGTTGGCTTGCAGCAGAATTCTGGAATATTTTTTATTGAAGAAAGTAGGAGGCTGTACTGGGGAGTGCATGGGTTGAAGTTCAAACAAGTCTGGAAGTCTGGTTTTATCTGAGTCACAGGTAAAGAACAAGTGCAATCAGGGATGGATTTATGGGGAATGAAAACTTTTTTTTTTTTGGCAGTTGGCTGCTATGGGAATCCAAACCCTTGACTTTGATGGTCATAACACCAAGCTCTAACCAACTGAGCTCTAACCAACTGAGCCAGCCCCTAAAACTTTTGAGGATTCCCAGGATTATCTGGGGGAGGGGACTGGATTTTCTATCACGATATAGGGAGGGCTAATTCTGTAGTTGATAATTAATTGAAAGTGTGACTTCTATATTATAGAGGGAGGATAATGAGAATGAGTCCCTGCTAGCCCAGGAGAGGAGACACGTGTATTAGCAGGCCGCAGGTATCTATTCATCCTTCAGTTTCTGTGAAGCCTTCCTTGAGTTCTGCCCTTCCCTTCCCACCCCCAGTGTGTAGTTTTCCTTTCTTTGGCTCCCACTGCACTTTGCACACACCTTTATCACGGCAGCCAATTATCCAGTATTGTAATTATCTATGTACATGTCTCTCCCACAAGAGCAAAGGACTGGCGTTGGTACTCAAAGCATGGTTCAGATTCCAACTATGTCACCAGCTAGCTTTGTGATGTTAGGCTGATTACTTAATCGCTATATGCCTCGATTTCCTTGATTTATAAAAATGGGCCTACGACTCCCTGCTGCATGCGACTGCTGGGAAATATGGAGGTGACAAGGCGATTAAAGTACGAGGCATAAAGTATATGCAAAATAAATGGTGCTAAAAACGGCAACATTTGTTAATTAACCTGACCTATCTTTGTCGCGTGCACTCAACATTTACTAAGCACGAGCTGTGCTCCCGGCCTCAGGCACGTGGTGGCGCGCTCTCTTCCGGGTGGAGCATCCTCACGTGCGGCCTGTGGGCCTTGTCCTACAAGCTAACTCAGGACTGGCTCCGCCAAGGAGGAAACCCCGCCCACAATCCTTTCGATCTCGTCAGCGATTGGGCCGGGATCGCCCCGCGTTCACTTTTGTTGCTAGGCTAGTGAGTAGGAGACGGTTCCTGGTTGCGCGTGCGCAGATTGAGGATGAAGCTTTCCGGTCGGGTGGAAGGAGGTGACATCAGGAGCGGTGGGGGGCGGAGGCCTCCCGTAGCCCTGGGGACGTTGTATCTGTGGGCCCTTGGATCACGTCACAAGTCAGTGACTGAGCCTTGGCGGTGGTGGCGAAGGCGGCAGCGGCGGCGACAGCTCTGGGGTCTGCGTCTCGGGGTGTGTCGGCCGCCGCTGCTGCTCGGACCTGTTATGTACAGATGGCTGGTTAGGGTTCTCGGCACCATTTTCCGTTTCTGCGACCGGTCCGTGCCCCCTGCCCGGGGCCTCCTGAAGAGGCGGCGCTCGAACAGGTGAGGCGTTCAGGGGGCTGAACGCCGGCCTGGCTGTTCTCCCCTCCTCCACCCGGGCTCCTCGGCCGGGACAGCGTTGATCCCGCCAGGCAGGCCCTGCTCGGTTGAAACGGGTCTCTCTGGGTTGAGGCCGGAGAGCTGTGGAGTCGCGGGCATCCTGGTGACGTAGTCGCTCCCGCCACGCTGTGGGGACGCGGCTCCTCATGAAGGAAGGAGCTAGTTGTCTTTGGAGGGGCCGGTGATGGTAGGATCTTTGATGTTTTGTCAGAGTCGAACCTGGTTGCTGACAACGAGTGGGGCTTTGTCATATTTTGCCGCTCTTAGGCTGAAAACTAAAAATTGAAGGAATACTGCCTTTGTTGTGGCTCACTGTTTACAAAGCATGTTCCCAAGTGTCATCTGCGGACAATAAGTGCAGTTAAGGGAAGGAAGATTCATAATTTTCCCAAAGCCGTTTTGACTGCAAGTACTGTTCTCTTAGCACCAAGAAACAGCAGCTGTCTTTTCTGAAACAGCTGTCAAACAGTGTGTGCTTTTGGAGCCAGAAGGGGGAGAGTGGTTCTGTGCTTTAGAATTAGGCTATGAGAAAAAAAGATCAGGTACCTCACTCCTTTAAAAAGATCACTAGTCTATACTCTAAAATTCAGTTAAGATTCAAGGAGAAACTAAAAGCTGTTCTCCTTGGCTTGTCCCATTTCATAGTATCTACCCTTGGCCTAAGACTTAATCTAGAAAATAAAGTTCTGTACAGATTCTATATATGCACCTCTCAACTTTTAGTGATCATGTGTTCATTTCATTTTTTTTTAATTAAGCCTCAGTATCAGGGAATGTGGAAAAAAAGGTTGGCTTCTGGGAGCTTCAGAGAACAAGATAATTAATACATGAGTCTGAGAATTAAGATCATTGATGAAATTGGTTGTTGGCTAAATTGTAAATGTGTTCCAAAGTCATAGTTTCAACTTACTCTTCCTTCCTACTTTTCTGTAGGGTTGATGTGAGGATCATTTGAGAACATGTAAACTGCTCAAACTGATGCTTAACATATATAAAGGTAGTATTTGTTTATACTACCTGGAGGGCCTTGTGCAGAGTCTAGTGACTGGTAAACATTTGGCACATATTTATTCACTAAGGGAATATTAAGTCCCTCTCCCCTAACCTTTCTCTCTCTCTCTCTCTCTCTCTCTCTCTCTCTCTCTGTCTCTCTCTCTCTCTCTTTCTCTCTCTTTTTCCTGAGCCTTCATTTGCCACTTATAGCTTTGTCCTCTCTTTTTGATGTGAATCCCTGTTAGCAGGGGAACAATAGAGATCAAAACCCTTTTTACTACACTTTAGGTGCTCACATCTTAAATCTAAAACAAGTCTTCTCAATGTAAGCCACTTTTCAGTAAAAGTGAAGCCAGGAGGTCTTGTTGGTATGTTTAAAGTTATGAGCGGAATGGTATCTTCCTGGGATCTCATTCTATTCATTTTTTTGGTAAACATAATTAATCATAAGGATTCAGAAAGAGAACAGTATGAGCCTTTAACATTCTTGACATATGGGTCCATAAACTTTCCTGAATTCCCAAATTCTTTATTACCGCTGTAATAGTTTCAATTATCAGCACCGCACTCTACCGAGTGAGCCACGGGCCGGCCCAATAGTTTCAATTATAAAAATGCCATTTAACATAACTTTTTTTCTGGCCAAGGACTATCTTTTAAGGTTGTGTACATTGAAGTAAAAGATGGCTTTTGGTGGGGGGACCATCTTTCAAAAGAAAATTGGTTATTTGTTGTTTTAAAATTATTTCTGGAGAGAAAAAGGGAATACTAACTGGTTCTAGGCTCTTATCTAGGTTCATTTACTAGCTAAGTTACTTCTGGCTAGTTTCACATTTGTACTTTAGCCAGATTACAGATTATTATATGGTAGGGAGTTTTGGATCTCTCAGATGCAGAGTTGAAAGCATTATAATGTTAAGTCCTCAAATGCTAAAGGCGTACTGTAGAATAGCATTCTCTTTTAAAACATCAATTGGGGGGCCGGCCCGGTGGCGCACTGCTATAGTGCGCTGCTTGGGAAGCGTGGCGGCGCTCCCGCCGAGGGTTCGGATCCCACATACAGACGGGAGCAACACCGAGGGCTGCGATCCCGTTGCCGTCCCGGTCCGGTACGGGGGCGACACTGAGGGTTGCGATCCGTTGCCGGACACGGAAAAAGACAAAAAAAAAAAAACAAAAAAAACATCAATTGGATCTCACTTTATGACAAAGTGGAAGGAAGAGGCGTGTGTATGCATAGTAAATTTATCTATAATACATATAAAATATGTATATGTGGTTTTTCTTCTTTCTCTCTTTTCAGCACTCTGTTTTCTACAGTGGACACTGATGAAATACCAGCCAAAAGACCAAGATTAGGTACTGAATATAAATTTTTAAAATTAGTTTCTTAATAGGAAAACTATAAGCATGGAACAAAATTCAAAAGGTAAAAAGTGCACGTGTGAAGTCTCTTTCCTATCCCTTTCCTATTCAGTTATCTTTTCTAGAAGTATCCTTGTTTATCTTTTCAGATAAATAAACCTGTTGAATGTGAATTTTAAAATTCTAAATCCTTCTATAAATCTTTTTTATTTTTGAGGAGGAAACATTGTAAAAAGTATTTCAAACTGAGTGATCTAGTTCAGATGACTGACAGATCTTTTACTTCCATGTATCTGAAGGACTAGAAGAGAATAAAACTAGATTAAAGGGAAAAGGCATAGACGAATACTATAATAATATATTCTTTTTTCTCAAATATGACTTGAATTTGGGTTTACCTTCAGAAATGTTAGTTGACTGTGGACATGTCTATGTTAATGTATCATTTGAATCCAATGAGTGCTTCCTGAGCATGTCTTGATGTTAAGAATGTATTATGTTCTATAGGAAATATGAAAATTAGTAAGACAGAGTCTCTGTTTTTAAGGACCTTACATGATTATATGGTAGGGGGTATAAAACAAACACATAAACAATACTAATGTCAGTGAGGATATGATAAATGAAATAAAGGTAGAAACAAAATCCTGTCCAATTTTTAGCTGATTGAGAGTCTCAGTAAATGTTTGACGAAGGTGTTAGGATGTGAGATGGGTCTTAAAGGATGGCTAGGTAGGATATTACAAGAAAGCTATAGGAAGGAAAAGCATTGTAGGCAGAGGGAACAGTATGGGAAAGTTGTGCAAATTCAGAAAATAGTGAATAAAGGTCAGGGAAAAAATTGGCTGAAGAGAGTTAGGTCATAACATATTATAGGGAATTTTTGAATGACAGGAAGTTATACTAAGTTCATTAGAACAGTATGTCTAAAGCACAGGATAGATACCAACTCAAGAAATGATTTTAGAGGATACACAGGTAAAGGATTGTGTGACATTTGAATTATATTATATACTAAGAAAGTTGTATTTTTTTCAGTTATTTTTAATTTTTTGATTATTTCAAACAGAAAATCTTCATATAGTGCTAATAAGTCTTCAATACTTGTCTTATACATGCTAATCTCCCATTTTTTAGCAGGCCCAGCTAGACTTAACATTACTGGGTTTTCATTTCTTTATAAGGCAAATGATGTTGGTTTTACATTTATAGTAACATAGAATTGAAAACAGTTTTTAAAATACACTTATTTTAGCAAAAAAAGTAAGTCAATTTTAAACAAAAATATAAGTAAATAACTTTATTAGCTTGTACTGGATGTGGCAAAAAACTTTGATGGTGGCATGTTACAGAAGGTTCCTGTAATAATTATTTATGGTAATCATCTATTTTACTGATTTCTATGTTAGCATCACCCACTTCATCATTTCCATTACATATGTATTATGAGTTTCTGAATGGCAAACTATAGAAGGGAATCAAAGCCAATGGGGGAAGCAGTGGGTAGCAGAAATAATACTTTTTTTAGAATTTGGAAAGGTCTGTAGAATGCTGTCCGAAAGAACTTCCTGTAGTGATGGCTGTTGAGGACTTGAAATGTGGCTAGTTTGACTGAGGAAATGAATTTTTAATTTTAATAGAATTTAAACTTAGCTAACCATATCTGGCTACTGCTATACTAGACAATTAAATTCAATTGGTTGCTTTCAAGAAACAAAAAAGTAAGGGTAAAAGAAAGAGAACCTGAGGATTGTAGACTCTCGATCTTATAAGTGAGGGATTTTAAGAGATCTACTTAGTCTATCCCTATTGACTAAGGGAGATGAGGCAGACCTGCCTTTTTTCCTGTTTTAAAAAATCAGTGTGATCTTTTGATATAACCTCAGGGCATACCCAGATTTTGACAAAATTTGTAGAAAAATAAAATAAAATATTCTAATACTTTTTAGTGGCCACTATTTACTATGTTATCAAGAGTACCTCTTGTCCTCTGGGGTCTGGATGTTAGCCTGTGAGGTAAGCATAAATTCCTAAAGCTCTTTTTTTCCTACTTACAAAGCACAGCAGATTGTAAGTGCTATCCCTCCACATTTCTAGAGGGGTAACCCTCTAGTTTGTAATTCCTAAATTGAGAAGCAACTCATTTGCAATCTTTAGTACATTTAACTATTATCTAGTAGCAAATTACTTCAAATTGGATCCTGCTTTACCTGGCCATCACATCTCCCTTTTAAGTATTTCACTATCTTTCTGGCAAGTATTTAAAAAAATATTTTATATGTTCTGGAGCACTTGTTGCTTAAAACCCACCATTTCAGGCAATTTTCTCTAAAGCAGAATGTGGCTAAGGTGATGGTCTCTTTTTTTCAAACTAGTGCTTTAGAATAACCTTAATTAGGAAATAGGAAATTGTAGAAAACTTACATTGGATGTGTAGGAAGTGAGAAAGAGGTAGTGTGGTTAAAGGAGGAAGTGAGGAAAGCACTGAAATCTACCCCTCCCTCTTATTTATTTATTTATTTGTTTTGTAATCTATATTTTTGGTGGCAGGAAGGGGTGAGTCTGAGATCTTCCAACACATCTACTCCAGCAGAGGGATAACCTTATTTTATCACAGATGTTTAAGAACCTCCTATTTTGTACTTCACCTAGCTAAATTGTAATAGGGGCTTAGTAAATAATTGTTTAGGACAACTGTATTGTTACCTGTTTGGGAAGTGCGGACAAACCAATGGGTAAATGACAATGCTTCCCATAGGATTCTGCCATACCTAGTGGCTACATGCTCCTTGTTCAATTACGCCCTCATTTCTTTGGTAAAAGTTTATTTCATATATTCTGGAGAGCTCATTTCTTAAAAGCTGCCATTTCAGGACTTATTTTTGTATATCGGTATATGATTTGCTAACGTGATGGTTTTATGTTTTTATAGTGTCCAGGTATTTTATTTAAAAAAACATCACAATACTGGAATTCCAGTTATTCAGTTAGAAAAAAAATATTTTTTATGGATACTTTTTTATTTCAATGGTTGAAAATAGGACTTTTAATAGAAATTGAGAAAGGTTCTTTCCAAGATGTGTGTGTATATATATATATATATATATATATATATATATATATATTTTTTTTT